TGCTATATATCTGTTCTTCCAATATAGCTGCCTCAGCAAGAGCTCAATGTGATGCCACAGATTATTTGTAAGAAATACAGTCCCACTAACAGGAAAAAAAAAAGGAATTAAATCTTTAAGGATAGCACATGCATTACTGCAGACAAATAGAAAATTACTTCCAAGCTATAAACCAAGTCATATTTTTGCAGACAAAAATGTCATTTCCAAATGCACTAGAAGTAATTTTATATACAGCAGTTGGCAAAGCAGAGAGGTGAAACCAAGTGCACATGCAGGAAAATCTATCGCTGTTTTCAGTAAGCTGCTTTAGCACCACAGAGAGGCTTTTGTGCTGTTTCTGAAGAGTGCTCATAAAACAGTGCTCCACAGACCTATTCTACTGAGCTGCTGCTTTTGGGTATGGGGTTTTGGCTTTTTTTATTTTTCCTTTTTTTTTTTCTTCTTTTGAACCTTGTTTTGCACCTATATTGCAATGAACCTATATTGCACCTTGCACCTTAGTCCAAGCAGTGCTTTTCCAGATGTGCTCCTGAAGCTTCCTATTGCTTTTGTGATCTCATTGCCCTTTATTTGACTTGCAGACTGACTTGAGGGTCTACGTGATGCTTTTCAGGTGGACCTGAGCTCACTTCGGTTGTGCTCCAAGCAAGCTGGGTGCAAGCCTGCCCAACCGAGAAGTCATGTAGTCAGAGTTGGCACAACTGGCAGACCAGTATGAGCAAAGTTGTTTGACAAGCAGAGTGAACTGGTGCCTGCCTGCACTTCTAGGAGGACACTGCTGTGCACTATATGAAAAGATATGCTTGAGCCTAACCAGCTCTTTTGCTATATATTTCAGTGGAATTCTCTTATCTTTCTTTACTTAGCTATCTAAAAGTCCCCGGACAGGGGGATGGCGAGGAGTTGGCTCTCAAATCTCATCTATTTCATTATGTGCAGTGCTCCCTGTAAGCCTGGTGTTTTTAAAGTGGAATTCTAGCTTCATGAGTAAATTTGTTTCTAGATCCCCCTCATGGCACTCTGTTCAGACAGGTTTATACTAGAACAATGTCTTAGTGCTTCTTTTCAGCACTACTTTCAGCATTTTTCTGAGGTTATTGCTAAGAAGCATTTCCATGATTGCAGACATCCTCAGTAGTTTCAGAGTTGTTTTATGTGAGCCCTATTACTTTTTAGGGAAGTACTTTCAGCCAGATAGAGCTGGCTGGGGCTATTCTATTTTGCAGAAAGTCTCTTTCCTTGCTGCAGTTCCTGATCTATAATACAAGTGACAAACTGCGTCTAACATGGCTCAGGTAGATTCCCCCTCCTCAGAACAGGGGCAATATGTTGCAGATAGCAACGCCGAATTTCTTGCAGATGCAAGAACCTGTGTGAGAAACAAAGTGGATGTTCTCAGGACCGGAACGTCACCAATTTACTTATGCTCAGCTCATCACAGACATTCATAGACACAACTCCTTTGGAAATTGGTGGTAGTTAGTTACATAGGTACCTCTGATGACCCGGATTCTCTCTGCCACTAATTTCTGCTCATAAGATCAACCCATCTTACCTCATAAGAGCATCATGTTGACACCAATGGTTAAGAATGTGTGGCACCATGATACAAAGGGTTTTATATGTAGAGATGATATAGTAGCTAGTGCTGCAGATAAGTAGTTGGGTGGGCACCAGCAGTACTGAAAGAAGGATAGACTCTGCTGTGCCTGAAGTGAGCTTTTGTTGATGAGAGTATGTTCTTAGGGAACGTGAGATGAGGCCTTCCTTTCTGCAAGCACCACTTGACAGCGGAAGAGCTGAAAAGAGCAATCCTGACTCTACCAAGTACTTAGGAGGGTACTGAACAAGCTACAGGCTTGGGGAAGAGTGGCTGGAAAGCTGCCTGGTGGAAAAAGACCTGGGGGTGCTGGTTGACAGCCGGCTGAATATGAGCCAGCAGCGTGCCCAGGTGGCCAAGAAGGCCAATGGCATCCTGGCCTGTATCAGAAATAGTGTGACCAGCAGGAGTAGGGAAGTGATCGTGCTCCTGTACTCGGTGCTGGTGAGGCCGCACCTCGAATACTGTGTTCAGTTTTGGGCCCCTCACTACAAGAAAGATGTTGCATTGCTGGAACATGTCCAGAAGAGAGCAACCAAGCTGGTGAGGGGTCTGGAACACAAGTCATATGAGGAGCGGCTGAGGGAACTGGGGTTATTTAGTCTGGAGAAGAGGAGGCTGAGGGGAGACCTGAGACCTGATCGCCCTCTACAACTGCATGACAGGAGGCTGTAGGGAGGTGGGGGTCGGCCTCTTCTCCCCGGTAACAGATGATAGGACGAGGGGGAGTGGTTTGAAGCTGCGCCAGGGCAGGTTTAGGCTAGACATTAGGAAAAACTTCTTCACCAAAAGGGTTGTCAGGCTCTGGAATGGGCTGCCCAGAGAGGTGGTCGAGTCCTCCTCCCTGGAGGTATTTAAAAGAAGGGTAGATGAGGTGCTTGGGGCCATGGTTTAGTGGTGGGATGGCAGGGTTAGGTTAAAGGTTGGACTCGATGATCTCAAAGGTCTTTTCCAACCAAAGTGATTCTATGATTCTATGATTGTATGAAGTCTGGATCCTGGCTATGTCCAGTGATGGTCTGATATAAAATGTAGGCACGTTCCAGGAAGTAAGGTTTCTTGGAAACCTTTCTGTAAACTTAATCTTACAGTTTCTCATAATACGCAGGTGATATCTTCCAGTAAGTGGAGAACCTGCGTGGCATGCCTGACACTGAAAACAAAAATAGATTTGGATACAAAATTTGGCTCTTTTTGTGTGCCTGACAGTTCTTCACTTGAAGCATCTGCAGCACACAGCTACACGTGCATGTATATCCCTCAAGTGGATTCAAGTGTAATTCAATAGCTCAATAAATAAATCATTCTGGCAGCTGTTGTCTTCTGTTAAGTCATTCCACTTTTTCCAGAACTGGTCGTATTTTAATAGCTCTCTTCATTTTGGCAAGGGTTTTCATAGCCTGAGCCTCTTTCACTAAGTACAAGGCCAAGTTTATGGCATGACAGTAAACTTAACACCTAATCTCTATACGCCTGTTCCTAAATGTGTATAAGTAGACATATATTAATTTGGAGAAAGATATATTAATCCTTGCCTTAAGTAAGAATATTATCCAGGTGATTTAAGCAATGGTCTGGGTGAGGGGAAGGCTGCAAGGGCAACAAGAGAGGACACGCTCCTGGCAATTCATCAGAAAGCTCCCAAGATTACATGAGCCCCCTTTCTTGGCTCAATTCAGCACCTCTGGAAAGTGCCTCCAGGGCCTCTTCGTTAGTGTGTGTTTTCTCTGGTGTACACCCAGAGCAATTTTTGACAGTTTTGAAGGAGAAGAAAGGTTAAGTAAATGGCATAGTCTTTATGGTGCTGGGAGGCTCTGGATTGCAGTGGGTTGTAAATATATTCTTAAAATTGAGTATGTGTTTACAACTGTGAGTATGTTGGAGTATTTAGATGGAAAGCCCTAGCTCAGTGGAACTCACGGGAACAAACTCCCCTCTGAACAAATGTCTGTGCATGTGAAAGTAATGACTTCTAAAATATTTGGCATTTGTGGCTTTCAATAGAAAGCATGTATAATACAATGCTGAGTAGGGAAAAGTAATTTCCATTTCCATAGCCATCATCTGGCACTGTTGAGGAAGTCTGAGCTCTTCTTAGCACTGCTGCCCTCATTGTACGGCTGAAAAGTGAACTTCAGTCTGTCAGGCTTTCCACTAACACCTTCTGTAAGCAGTAATCCAAAGGATCTTCCCTCACTCCTCCTCTAAAATGGCACATTTAAGCTCCTTCTGTTTTCATAGGTGTGTATGTATATAACAGGTGTCATCTGTATATGTGTTTGCAAAGGATACAATCCCCTGCCAGTGAAAGCAGATCTTCTCCTTATCTCATGTGTGATTAGTTACTTACACAGGCTCTGCACAAAGAAGTTGAGACTTAGCTTTTTTTTTTAGTGAGTGCACTTCTCTATTAATCACTTAAAATACTACAAAAGAAGCTTAATCACAGAACTTTAAAAATACTTAGAGAATTTTAGAGTATTACTTAGAGTAAATAGGAGTTTGCAAGTTTCTATGTCTTTGTAGCTCATCAGACAGGAGAGATTTTGCCTTGGTCTCTGAGGCTGCTGCTGAAAAATAGTACCTCTGGAGTAACTCCCTCCTTTAGGCCAGTATCTTAGAGAATGCACGTAACATCCATTGGCTGTGCTGCTCTACCGACTCTTCCAGTTTGCCACAAGACACATCAGCAAAAGAACTTGATCAGAGGTTTGCACCAGGACTGGCTATCAAAACATCAGGCTGTGCTTGCCAGCTTTTTCAGGGAGGGTGAGGAAGAGGCAGGGCAGTCATTGCACCCTTCCTTCCCAAGAGACAGCAGAGCTGATCAGATTTGCAGGAGAACATGTACCCCAGCAGAGAGTGCAGCTTCAGAAAAATAATTTCCTGGGGCTTCTGGTACAGCAGCACCAGCTATCACTTACCTGAACACAGAGCTGTAGGCTTTTGATCCCCCAACATTTATGGCTTTTACAAAGTCTCTGACATTACCCACTTCTTGAGGCTGCTGTTGGCAAAGTGCTGCCAAGTCATTGAGTTGTTGTCTTCACTGTCTGCTAGAGTTCAGGTACTTTGACCATAGGTTGAAGTTTTGTAGAAAGAAAGCAGATCACCATGCCAAAGAAAGATCACGTTCAACATTTTATGGCCTTGTGAATCTTGTAGCTCCATTGCCCACAGCCTAGAAGGCACAATGCTGTGGAAAACCACAATTTAAACAAAATTTTAAAATTCAGATTTAGTATCTAACTGGGGGTTAGGAATGTGAGTTTGGTGGTGGAGTGGAAAAGACATACGTTGAGTTATTTAAATAAACAAATGGCAACTGGTATAAAGGACTAAAGTTCCATTTTCTGTTCCCGTGATGACTCAGCACTTGATGAATTGTTTTCCCTAGTTCCCAAAGTGAAAGAAGCAGCTGCCTTTGGCCCTCTCCTGGCACAGAGGAGAGTTCCACTATCAAGACCAGAGCAAGAAGGTAGATTCTTTTTATTCTACAGTGTTTCTTTTCCTGTGTATTGTGTGTTTTCATGACAGCCTATATTAGTCATGCCAGAACCAGTTTAAAAAAGTTTTTAAAAGTTCGTCCACATTGCAACTTGACTTGCATTTGAATTTCACTTGATTTATTTCATAGTCATGAAAAAATAAAGTCATTTCTAGCGTCTATAAAGTGAAACCATGTTAGAAGAGTTTTGCATAGCACGCACCAATATGCCAATGTCCTTCAGCCATATTCTCTTGGTTTTTCTCCTGGTCCTCTGTCAGAAGTCAATAGGAGTTTTCCCTGAACAAGACTGAATAAATATTTACCCTGAATCTTAAATAGCCTGGCTATGAATGTGTGATAGTTCCCAATTAATCAGTAAGTCCTGTGGATATCACAGTGAGATGATACTACCTGTTCTTCCTCACATTAAAAAATTGAAAAATCAGTCAGGGGAGCATACAGGGTCCAAGACCTGTCAATGTATGTACCCAACTTGGGCTTCTGCCATGCCTTAGGAAACCACTTAATGGACTTTCAAACAGAAAAGTTCACTGCCTGTTGGGAACTAGAAGACACTGCAGTGTAGCTCTAGTCAAAGCAGAGCAGAAAGGCAGATCAAAGGCCACTCTCCTCCTCTCTCCTGGTGGGAAATGGTTTCTGGGTGATGGACAAAATCACGAAGCTGACTATGAGGACCTGCTTATGAGAGTCACAGCAAATAGCAGAATCCAAAAAGGGGGACTGAGAGATCATAGAATAGTTTAGGTTGGAAGGGACCTTTAAAGGTCATTTAATCCGATCCCCAATCATATTGAGCTAATGCATTTACAAAGCAGCAGCATCCTCCTGGGGAGTTACCAGCCACGTGGGCAGGGGCTGAAATGCTGGCATTGGCTGTAGCTGAGATTATCTTTAGAACAAGGTGGGTTTCACCCAAAACCAATTCACAAATGCTTCCAAATCTTAAACAAAACAAAACAAAGTAGATATACTGGGTGACATTAAGGGTAAGGTACTGTGGTGTTTCCAATTCAGAAAGCAGTGGTCTCAGAAACAATGGATTTATACAGAAAAGCTCTCTAAATGCCATGTATTGCATTTCTCTGTCTCATGATAAAATACATGAAAAGAACAGGAAGGATTCTTTCTGAGGAAATTCAGATGGCTGACATATTATTCTTAATCTGATCTGTCATGCTTGCATTGTACAGTGTTTTTTTCTTTGTGTATTTCACCTTTTCATCTGCACAGTTACGAAGGCTGTGGTGTGCTCTGGGTGACACCCTTTTTCAGTGTGCTCTAAAGGTCAACTGATTTGGGCTATTCCCAGCTCCATGTAGTATGGGTATTGAGTGCTGACATAAAGGATTCCTCTCATGGGAGGCCAGCTTCTCTCTTTCAATGGATAGAACTGGAGCTTGAGCATCTCAGCTGATTACAGCTACAGCAGTGTAACAAACGGAGAGAGAAAAGCTCTAAAGTTGGCAGATCCCAAACCATTTATGACACTGGAGTTCAAAACTAACACCTCCAACTATACCTGGTGACCAGCAGGCACTCAGTATCCAGAAGTCACAGCATGTAAATTCACGTGCAGATGGGAGATGGGCAGTAAAAAGACACAACAGATTTTCCTGTGAGTTAAAGAAAGAATTACTACATAAATTCTAATATTTTACTTTTTTTGCAATTTAATCTAGGTCAACACTATCTGAACTCAGTTTGTAGATAATTTTAGAATGACCTATTCATTCATAACTGGATGAATAATCAGTACTTCTGATATAGTGCTTCTCTTATCTCTTGAGTCTTCAGTGCCAATTTTTTTTTCAGTTGATTGCAGCTTCAGTCGAGGGGTCTGCGACTGGAAACAAGATGCTGATGATGACTTTGACTGGAATCCTGCCGATCGAGATAGAGGTATTTAAATATCTGTCCTCTAGCTATGCTTTGATTTGATGGCTCACCCCCTCCAAAAAAAAGGGGGACGGAGGGGAAAACAGAATCAAGAATTATATTTTCTATCAGTGGGTTATCTTTATAAAGGAGAAAAGGAGACAGAGAATGCAGGGGGTGGAAATTGTTTCTTTGAAATATCCAACTGGTAATCAGCAACATATTTCAACACAAACAAATCAAAAGATGAGAAAATTATTAGACTATAACTGCTCAGATTTGCAAGGTACAAGTCAATGGGAGCCTTATCCTTACGTGTTGTGTGTCTCCAAGACTGGTAGGGCATTTAACCACACATCTGCCATTCAGATGGATGTGGCAATGTAGTCACTCACGTGGCTTAGACAGAACTGTGGTAACTGCTCAGAAATCTCTAACTCTGTGAGACAAACTAGTGATGACATTCCTCAGAATGAGCCAAGGGCAGGCGACCATTCAAGAACAGCCAATATCTGACCTAGTACCAACTGCAGGCCTGCTAAAATCTGAGAAAGAGCTCCATGAGCGCAATGTGTGACTGCTGTGCTGGTGTATATAAAAATGTGTGGCTGAAGAAGCTTGTTTGAAAGGATGTCTCTTCCCCTGTGACACGGGAAATGTTGCAGAGGTTGCTGCAGTGGGGATCAGTGGATCCTGCAGATCCTGCGGGACACTTGCTCCAGTTCCTACAAACTCATTCTCTCCCTCTACCTTCACAGTCTTTCCATCCCAGTCTTTTGTCCCTAATCCTTCCTCTCCTGCTCCATATATTTCCTTTTCCCCAAGTCCTTCTCTGTGATGTCACTTCCAGGAAGACCATACCCTGACTTTATCCCATCTCCCTGAACTGACATCTGCTGATTATGACTTTATTAATGGGCCCAGATGTTTTATCCCTTTATCACTTTGTGTGTCTCTGCCATTTCATTGGTCCTCCAGGATTTGAGGAATAAGCTATTGGTTCCTCCACAAGTTTGTAACCACTGCAGAGGACAGTGGAGAGAGTATTGAGCTTCCTCAAGCACTGGAAATGGTCTGACCACAGAGGCACAGCAGCATGTTTCAGGCTGTTGCCTTTGAAAAACTGAGGTGGTTTTGCCCTTGAAAGATAGTGCAAGGAAGAGTGGCTGTAGTTGCCAGTGAAATATGAACTCATCTACTCTGTAAACTGATGTGACTTCCAACAGTGCAAGCTTATTCCTTGTGAAGTACACTCCTTGCTGCTTTTCTCCAGTCTGATTCTGAATTATTCAAGTAACACAGCTTCCACGTATTTCTTAGCAAATATGTATTCAATTTGCTAATAAATAACACAAGTCCATTAAAGATGCATTTCCTTTTTTGTTACAAGGCGATGGGTACTACATGGCAGTTCCAGCTTTTGTGGGGCACAAGAAGGATATGGGGCGTCTAAAACTTCTCCTCACCGACCTCAAACCAAAGAGCAGCTACTGCTTGATCTTCAGTTACCGGCTCGCTGGCGAGAGAGTGGGGAAACTTCGAGTGTTCCTGGCAAACAAAAAAACCACTCCTGTCTGGGAGGAAAATAAAGGAAAAGATGAAAGGTGGAGAACTGGAAAAATAGAGATATTTCAGGGGGCTGAAACGACCAACAGTGTAAGTATAGCACAATTTGTAAGCCAAATACCATAATCAAGAGCTTAATTTCCTAACCCTCAAGTGTTCCACCAACTTTTATAGGCATTGCTTACTGGCAATTGAAAGGCTTATCTGAAATGGGAAACAGGAGCACAGATTTTAGGAGGCAGAAAAGTTATTATCTGGCTGTAATTTCAGAACTGAATTACCCCAGTTGGTTAGAATGTTGATGCCAGTAACCCTGTCATTTTGTAAAAACTGCATCAGATCATAAATTAGCACAAACAATGACAATCTCTGCTTAATATCTCATGCAACAGAAGCATACATATATTCCTGGAAAAAAATGAAAATTATCCCTGTTTTGTAGAAGAGGATGCTCTCAAACCACACTAAACCAGATAATTAGTGCAAAAGGAGGCATCATGTATAATCAAGGGCAGGCACTCGCCCTAGGAGCAGGACATACTAGCCAACAGGGAACACTGTGCACAGAAAACTGCCTTGGTTGGGGCTTCAGCACGTTTCTCCTTGAAATGCTAGGGCCTGGTTTTCATTTATGTGACTGAAGATTTTCAGTGCTGTGTAAAGGCTTCTACTGTATAACTGAGTACTGTGAGTATAAATGAAATGCCAGCTCTTTTCAAGGTTCTTTGCACCGCTGATTCCAGATGTAGAAAAGCCCTTACCTATATGAGAATCAGACCATTAAATAAAAAAACAGGCATCCTATTCATAAAAATGAACCTACTCTCTCTATGTACTATACTATATATATACATTCTGTATAGCGAGAGTGAGTAAATATATATACAGTATATAGACCCAAAACCTAAGGATCCAAATAGATCAAAAATGAACAGTTGTAATGTCTTCAAGAAAAGGAGTGCACTAACAGCATATACTGTGATAAAACTACGTTGTTATTATAATAGGATTTCACTCAATGTGCATTTTCTTTGTACAATGAAAATAAGTAATCTTATTAAAGGAGTCCATTTGGTATTGTAAATCTGTGCAGAGGATTATCAGTCGTCTTCCAATAATACACCAAAACTCTAAAAACTGCAAGGATTTTAGTCATAAAGTCCTGTATTGTGATAAAACATTCCTCAGATACAGCATTATAACTAATTAAGAGTTGCTAAATGGTTGGATAAACTACATTTTCACTGTTAATACATCTCTTCTTTTGACAGGTCACTTTTGAATCAGAACGTGGGAAGGGCAAAACTGGAGAAATTGGAGTGGACAATGTTATATTAATTTCTGGTCTATGCCCAGAAGACACCTGATAAGGGATATTTGAGGATTTCATCCTATATTTAAGATTTGCCTTACTAGTAGTGTATTTTTGTATCATTTTCTTTATAAAAAAACCCAAAACCATAAAACCTGTGCCTTGAACTTAATGCAACAATGAAAATGGAAAAACTGACATGTGCAAGATGCAGGGTACGCTTTTTTACGAGTTATTCTAATACATTCCTTGAGTGTAGCACTACTGTATTTTATAATTCAAGGTGAGGGTTTCTAAAGTATCATTTGTCTAGCTTTTTTACAAATTCTACATGCTTTTATTCCTTAAAGTTCTTTTCAAGGCTATTCTTAAGTCTTCTACTTAATTTCGTCTACTCCACCAGAATATAAAGCAGTATTTAACAGGACGTTACTACTTCTGGTGACATAATTTTAACTTTTTACTTAGCGTGTAGATATTCGATCTATTCAACAAGAAGAAAGAGGAGCTTTATTTCATACTTGATGGAGCTACACAACTTGTAAGTGGAGCCATGCCTGTGAAGAATATTTTCATTACTAATAAAGTATGTAAAATATCGTACTTGTCATCAGTGTCTGAGTCACACAAATCACGGTTTAGAAACTACACCTTTATAGTTTTATAAGCATTTAATGTTTATCAGGTGATGTTACCAACTGATACTGAAAAAAAAAAAAGAGTGACCCATTATTAACACTTAAGAAACTTCACATTATCTAGTGACCTTCAGGAAAAAAATCGGTGCCTGCAGCATCGCAGGCCTACTTTACCCCACAGAGGTGTGAAAGAATGGTTTTCGTTTTCCAGTAGGCAGTGGACACACAGTAAGGACCCTTCTTACACAACTGAAAAAAAAAAAATCTTTGTTGTGAGTTCCTTCATGTCCCTTCAATCTTCAGCAAAAGGGATGGAGACCCATCTGCCATCCCCAGGAGCAGGGAGGTGAGCAGAACCTTCTCCCACAAACTAGGAGCTGCCACCCTGTCACCCCCCTGCCACGCTCACCCATGCACACACACGTGTACATGACTGAACACGTACACATATACGTACACATTTAAGGAGGGTCTAAAATCCAGGTTCCACCTTTTCTGAAAAGAAGTCAAATGACAATGCTGAGGAGGCCAAGGCCATCTTCTCCCATCTTGTGATCTCTTCTGAAAATACCTAGCGGTCTGAATCCCAAGAGGACACAGATGCCCATGGAAAAGCCCTGGTTCAGGCAATGTTCAGTTAAATGTACGTGCATACATTCTCCTCTCAGTTAGCTCTGTGTATGCCCTTCTAGGTTGACTGCTCACTGTTTATTATTAGTGACGCTCTTTATTTTATTTCTTCTATGAAGAAAGGGACATCCAAAACAACTGAATAGAATTTTATAGAGAAACGTGAAAGAACCTTGAAGATTTCAGCCTATATGAACCTAAGCTTTTTAACAAAATACAGCTCCAAAAGTTCAAACACCTTGAATTGCACCCATGAAGCAAGTTACGGATGCTTGAGGCATTTCTTGTTGAAAAACAGTATTTTTGCACTTTGCACACAGCTGAGGAAAGGGTTAGCAAGACCGGAAACGCCTGGAAAGTTTACAATAGCTATGTAATCAGGAAATGCTCCTTCAGTGTTAGAACTGGTTTGTGTAACGGAACAGGTGCTCTGAGAACTGTACGTTGACTTCAGCTTTGACACATGAATTTCTTTCCTGGTGTCTTTGGAGATGCTGAGGAAATTACAGAATAAGGACTTGAGAAAACCAAATTCTGTTTAATCTCAGGCAAAGACTCTGGGAGTTTCAAAGCCAGGGGAAAGTTCCCTCAGTAGTGGATCAGATGCTGACTGTGATCTCAGGATGCCTGAAGAACCTGGTCAGAATGAGGCAGAAAAGTGAAACAAGTATTTTTTTAGACTCAATCCTCCTCATCTGACTCTCTGAAGTTGACACCGTTACTGAAAACTGAGAAAATGAAAGATCAATTTTATTGAAGTCAAGTTCTGTGTCTAGCTTCAAACAGCAATAATTTACACATACACAGTGCCCCTAAAGCGCAAGAAGCCTAAGAATTGTTACAGTCTCGAGCATTACAGTTCAAATGATGTATTTGAAAAACATGTGGAGCAAACTCTACCTAAAAAAGCGCAGCTAGGCATTTCTTGCACATGCAGTTATTTGGCGTGGAAAGGCAAATACTGCCTGTGGAAGGCATAATGTCTAAAGACTACTTGCTCAATACACAAACAATAGAGAGTAAACACAATGAACATGGTCTGATCTGGAGACATAAATGCTGACATTTATTTGTTGTTGGTTGAATCGTAGCCCACCATGAATCATGACTGTGACAATTACTTTAGTAGTAGCATTCCAACCAAAAGACAAGATAAAAATAAAAGATTTTGCATTTCATTGAACGAGTAAGAAAATGATTCGCACAGGTCAGTACAGACTGCAATAGCTGCCATAAGTCTTCCTGTAGTAGGTGCAGAAGTTGTTTCTCATTTGTTTGCAATGGATTGTCAGATACCAGATAGCTTGCATGACAGCAGATCATAAAAATAGCATAATAAGAGTTGAAGAGCAAAACTGAAACCTTTTTTGTTGTGATGAAATTCCAAGATAGCTTCTGCAAAAGCAACAAAATAAATCCGTTACGTATAGACATACGTATAAACCACATCAGCGCATCGGCAAATTAACTGGTATTGTTTGCAACATTCATTGAAAAGATGCAACCGCTGAGGGCAAAAGCTACATGTTTCTCCTTCAGATGAAAACAGTTAAAGGGCATATTATGCCCACAGTTATTAATGCCTCAAAATGTTCCTGACAGTGTCCCGTTACTGTGAAATGCGAAATGCATTATCTGCTTGATTATTTTAGTCAGCAAGGAAACTGCACTGGGAGTATTTGAAAATGTTACAAGTATGCTATACTCATGTGGCTTGAACTTTGATAACATCATTTGCAACTCTTAAGTCTGATAATAAACTTTGGAGACAGTACGCTGCCTACAAGTTAATGGAAAAAGAAAAGAGCTTCTAGCTAGTTACCCAAGTCTATACTACACCCTTCAAAAACTACTCAACAGATGTGATCACTTAATCTTGAAGGTTGTATAACAAAAGGCTCCAATCACTTTTCTTCAACTGCCAAATGAATTAAAGGAGTCATTTCATCTTCAACCTTGAACACATGGAAATGCTGAGGCATGTTCCCACAAGATGATTATCCTGTAACCACAACTGAAAGGAACTTAAAACATTTTCCAGCTATTAGAGGTTATTTTTATACATTAAATAAGGATTCCCCACTGCAATTTTTAAGGATCATAAAGATGAAGGTAATGGACAGATGCTTTCAATGACTGATTGCCACTCATATTTACTTCAGAATTGATATATTTTTTCAGACAGAGTCTGTACTCTCTGTACCTCCTCTGTACTGGAGGTATTGAAATTTATGACAATGTATTAATTAAAGGGTAAATGACAAGAAAGTGTGGATAATAATTTATTTGGCCATATGTGTACTGTTACATAAAAGCTCATCACAGCAAAAGATTTTTGATGGAAAATAATTTCTAATTTTGATAGCTATTAACCTCTCAAATACCTGACTTTAAAGTTTAGAGTTCAACGAAGTTAAAGTCATTCAGTCTTTCTGACTCTCCCCCTTCCAAACCCTAGCTCTTCAGGAAGCGCACATTATAGAACTGTTGAGAGAACACTGATTATTAATTTCTTATTTGGGGAATATTTAGTCTTCAGTTATTCAGTAAAGCATAAAAGCATGATTGAATGTTTTAGAAGGTTCTTTCCTTTTTTTTTTTCCCCCCTAAGGAAATAGCCTAATACTCTGTCTGAAAATCTTGTAATTTCTTAATTTTTTGTAATGCATTTTACACCCCTGAGAAGAATATTCTCCTTAGATAGACTTGAGAAATCATTTTAATAGTGATCCTTTTACATCCTCAGATTAAAGCTAATTTTAATCCCATGTTTGAAGTGTTTTAGTAATTCATTTTAAAGTGGAAGAAAAAAATTTCAAAGCTAAATATTACCTAGAATAAGACAATTTATGAGAAACAATCAGTGTATTTGATGCCAATAGAAATCAGGTCTGAGTTAAAGATAATAACATGTCCCTAGACTTGCCTTAAAATAGCATTTCATTCTTTTTTCTTCATATACTTCTTTTTACTTCCATGCAAAAATGGTACTTCTCCAACAAGTTGGATGGTGTGCAGGAGCACTGAGTAACTCCACAGATGTGCTTTGTCAGGGCCCAACTCCAAGCACTCCCTCAAACAATCCCCAGGCAGAGTCTGCGAGTCAAAATGCTCCAGGAACCACTCCCAGGAGGCAGTCTGCATGCTGCAGCCCCATTTTTTGTAGCATAGAGGAGGAGGTGGCATGTTTAATTTCCTGTTGTTTGTTCTGCACACAGACAATAGCAACACAAAAGCTCATTCAGACACTTAAAGTCTTCTTCCAGAGCTGACTGCCCTGCTCCATTGCTTTCTGAGGGCTGTTTGCTGGACTGGACACCTCTGGTAAGTAAATCTGACTTAGGCGGATATAGCAAGCAATCAGAATCTGGCCCTTGGTTTCAGGCCAATAGCAGTTTAACATTAAGTCTCTGTGTTTTGACTCACTGCAGTATTATAGTTTTCTTGCTATAGTTGATAGCTTAATACGTGATATTTTTGTGTGCTGCATCAGGAGTTGTCTTCTCACCTGAAAACATGGGAAAATTAATTGCAGGTGACTGCAAAGTGAAAGACTAGGAATAATCTTCATTATATTTACATAGTCCCCAGGGGCTCTAAATTAGCTTCTGCCTCTAAGGAAAATAATCTGAGAATAACCACATTTTCCTTTTAAATTCTCACTTGAACTGAAAAAGACAAAAGCATATAAAGCATGTAAATGCCCCACGTCCATACCCAGTTCCCATATATTTTTCCCATATTTCCCGTGCCAACATTGCTGTCCACCATGTCCTGCAGTGGTGGA